TATGGTCTATCAAAGTAATGGCGTGAAAATTATTTGAGTTTAACTACAGTTCCATCTATAATACAAGAGACAAATGCAGAAGATGAAAAATACCTCCTCCCCTCCCTTTAGCAAAGCAGGTTATGGAGCCAAGAGCGGCAGCAATGCCTCTGTGTAGCATAGCCCCGGACGGGCACGAGCCCGTTAGGCGTGCCCTCTAGCGACCTACTCGCCAAGGTCCTCAATCTCGCCTTATCGAACATATATATGCCGATAAGGAGAGCAATGAACAAAAAAAGCCTCTGAGGAGTGCTGAATAGCCACTCTCTCACCTAGATACACCGTAGTGTCATAAGTCCCCTGGAAGTACCGACGTTGAGCAGTGTGCTGCGCAGCAAGCATAGGAATGTTGAAATATGCCCATGGCCGAAACTCTACGGCCGACTCTAACAAAATGCATATTCATAAGATAAAATCCTATTAAAGGTATAAAAAGTAAGTATCCGAGGAACATACCAAGAGGATCAACTCTCAAACGCGTCTAGTAGTAGCCGCATCACTGTGACGACCTCCCCAACCCGGTAGCAACGAGGAACTCATGAGGTGAAGGTCTCGCCGGCGAGAGGGCGGAAAGTACTCGTAGAATAAGATCTATGAGGATAAAGAAATGTCAATAAATGCCAACACAGATCTAGAGCTAACTTAACTAAAGGAAATAAAGTGTACTTCTACGACTCTCCAAAAGCTGGAAAGCGTGATATCTCCCTCGAATGAGCTATGAAAACTAACAAATCGGAGTCTAACTAGGAAGTCCGCATAGGCCAAGCTAGTCTAATTATACGACCCGACCATGTGAAGGTCGCAAAGATCAGGTAAGTAGCAGAGTAGCACTCGACTAACCTTTTTAGGCGAGAAGGTCCCTTACAACAAGATGAGAGCGAAGATGCGCACCCGCTGCTTTGGGTGGTCGCGCTGTCCTGAAAAGCCTCCGAAAGTGTGGACCAGCGAATGCACCTAGAGCTGAGATGCGTTTGATTAGACTCACTACGAGGCCGAATGCTAATAGGGCCCAACAGATCTAGTACTTCTGGAGAAAAAATGGAGATCTCGTTATCGAATGGAAGCATGACCGAAGTAAACTCCAATCCTGTGATGAGACTGAAGTCAGTAGGGGTAACAGTCATCTCACCCTAGGGAAAATGGAATGTGTTGGTGGTGTCCTAGAAGAACTCCACCAAAGTTTGAACTACGTAGTGGCTCTGTCCGAAAGATTACATAGCCCGGGTGGCTCACAACAAAGGAGTCAAGCCACAAGACTCCCACATGAGGCGCGGACCGTTATAGTTGCGAAAATAAGTGTCGTACAAGGATCCAATGGTCGCGTTGCAAGAACCATGGCTACAACTCTCTCGCTGAAAATCCCTCGCCGAACGCGCTCCGAAATGTGAAACTCGGGCGCAAAAAAATAGAATGCGTTCGTCCCACTATGGGAACCTCCATAGGGAAGAAGAGGTCCCTACGCCTGCATCAACGGGATCATCCTCCCGATGAGCCTCCTTAGAACGAGAACTGAAAACTCGTCATCTAGCCATGCTATATTATGTAAAATAACAGAAAATTAAGGTTCTATAGTATCTAAGATTCCCCTAGCCGCATGATACTATGTTCGCAAAAAAACAGAGTACGTAGTATTAAAACAGAGTATAATTTCAATTCAAGCATAAATAGCACTTTTGAAACAATCAAACAAATTCTTGCAATACTATGTTAAATATTGTGACAAATTGGACAAGAATGGCTAACAAAAATACGAAGAACAAGTCACATTGTTCTCACGAACTCAGGGGGTTCAACAATGGCAATTTGCTCATTTCTTCACCAAATTGAGTAAAACAAGCCTCAAAATGCTCTAAAGGTAATATATAAACATAATCGAGCAATTTCAAGGCATAAAAATTCAACAAACGGAGCGAATTAAGCACAATTAGGTTTGATTTTTTTTGACAACCCGCGCATGAACATGTTCAAAATCATTAAAAACCGAGATAAGTTTGAGAAAAAATTACATGGATAGGGAAACTAGATGAAATAAGATATGATTTGCAAGAGGTTTAAGCGAATTTGGTGGACAAACGAGCAAGAACGAGTGAATTTAAGTCTTCGAGCGAAAACACGAACAACAACAACCACGATGAGGAAAAGGGGTTTTATTTCGGAAAACCCGACATCAGCGCTAGACGACAAGTTTGTCGCCAGGCGCTGACCTCTATCGCCTGGCGACAGAGAAAAATCTTGGCGACGGTGCTGACCTCTATCTCCTGGCGACAGGATGTGTGGCTGCCATAAATACTATGCGGACCTTATACAACAATTTTGGGTTCCATGGTGCGCCAGTAAGCCCTTATAAGAAATTTGACATGATTAAGTAATCGACTCGATTACAATCACAGTAAGTGATTGACATGATAAATGATCATCTCACTTAGCTTAAAGCGCCTAAACATTTGCTCATCGCAAATGCACTAACGTAATGGTTCACAAGCAGCAAAATGCGCCGACTCGCACAGCGGTAATTTCAGCAAATATCACAGCAGCAAAGTTCAAGCGAGCATTGAGGATCAACAAGCGGTGGTCTTTGGTAATTTTCTTCGGAATATTATCACAACAAAATTGAGGATTGTTATAAGCAGAATGGTCTTCAACGACATTCCCTAGCTTGCAGAAAGTTATCACAAACAACTAAAGATGGTTGTAAGCGGAGTTATCTTCGACGACGCTCCCTAGCTTGCAGAGAGTTGTCACAAACAACGAAGGATGGCTTCAAGCTGAGTTATCTTCGATCATATTCACTAGAATGCGGAAGATGATCAAAAAAAACGGTAGAAGATTGCTATAAGCGGAGCAATCTTCGATGGTGTTCCCTAGTTTACAGAGAACTATCACAGGGAAAATTGAAGACAGCTACAAGCAGAGCAGTCTTCAGGCGATATCCCCTAGCTTGAGGAATATTGTCAAACAAAATCGATTCCTCCATACACGTGTGCTCGACAGTGCAAGATATGCGTTTCTTAATTCTTTTATCTGTTCAACTAACGCTAGTTTGCAGGTATCGGCGTTACAAGAATGATTTAGGATTGCAGAACGTTCTGAATCACTCTCTGTCCCTATCGTTACTTTGACTTTTGTTTTCAAAACTTGCATTTCTCCAAACTCAGTCAAATTAGGGGCTTCTGTAGACACCCAAATGTGTCTCCCCAAAACCAAACCCAGTGATGAATTTCTTTCAAACCATTTGATTATCGAACGCAGTGAAAGTGTGAAAAGTCTAGTGGTGAGGATGTTTTTATTAAAATATTTTCTCTTTCTATTTTCAAAAATATTTCTTTTCTTACTCTATTTATGAAAATATCCAGTCCAGTTTTAGTTTGGTCCATGATAAAGGTCCAATAAAAGTATAGCTGGATTGGGCTCGAAAAGAGCTTTCTGACGATATATTATAAGCCCAACTCCGATGAATAATGAGGAAGTTATGGATTAAAATATATTAGGCCCAATAATTTTACATGTGGCCCAATGATCTAGAGGAGGACCTATTAATTATTATTCCTAAAGTAATTAGGATTGATTTTAATTTTCTAGCATATCTAGATGGTTCTTTTTAATTCTAATAAGATTAGGATTGATAATTGTATTTTATAAAGATGTTTTATTTTAAATAAAATATATTATTTGAACCAAATATGATTTTAATCTCCTTAACGTGGAATTACCTGTTTAACCGGTTTAAGGACATGATTCCGCGTACAAAAGAGCGTTGTACTTTTGAATTAGCGCGAGACAACAGAGTTGTCGCCTGGCGTTAAAAGCTGTCGCCTAGCGATGCAGCTGTCGCCTGGCGCTACCCTTGTCGTTTGGCGCTGACTCCTGTCGTTGGCGACAGGAGGTATTTTATTCCGAATATGACTTGCTTTGATCCCGTGATAATTGTTTCTATAAATTGGGGTCGTATCTCCCCGTTTTTAATAATTCACAATCATCATTCACAACCATCATCTCTCTCTCTAAAAGCTAGAAGCTTTCTCTCTCTATTTTTTGTCTAAACCTTCCCTCTCTCAAAATTCCTCATTCAATAGTTCTAGACACACCTAGCCAAGTTCGAAGTTGCCTTCGTCTTAGACGTGAAAGGTTTGATATTTCTGAGGGTTTGGTCCCAAATCCGTATTTAAATTATGTAAATGTTTATTATTTTCCTTGAAATTACTAACATATATATTTTGTTATTAGAAAGAGGTACAAGGTATCGAAGTAAGTACTTGTAGGGAATATTTCAAGCATTACCCAAAAGTTGAACCCCACTGTGATCATACACTTAAGCATGGTGGCGTTCAAAGGGAAGGAAGCTAGAGTAAAAGAGTCGCCAATAAGTTTTAGGAACTTGTAAAACCATTCACAGGGTGAAGGTTACTCCCTTTGACGATGCAGGAGATCGTCAACTCCAATAGGTCTGGAACCATGACTGGAAGTTCTGGGATGAAGGTACAAATCCAATCTAAAAGAGAAAGAACCTGCCCTAATAATAAGCCTCTACTTTATTCTTCTAGTATTCATGTGTGCTTTCTGACTAACATGCAATCAATAGGTTTACGCTAAACTTGTTTAATCTATGTTGGTTGAATATTAATGCACAAACAAAATTATTATTGGCGATCACTTGAATTATAATCATATTAACCCTAAACAAGATTATTAAATATCTTATTAAGCGTGATTACAAGCACAAATTCCGTTTAAACATGCACAAAAAGGCGTGATCAAACAATAACAATAAATACAGAATTTTGTTTGAGAAAAGCTAGTTTAGAAAAGAGAGAGAGTATCAAGAATTTCTTGATCAGAGTTGATGATTGAAAAAACTGAGACATGACCTCTATCCCTAACCCTTTAAAAAGTGGGAACTTCTCTAACATGAAAGGAATAGTGTTATGAGTCTAAAGTCAATGAAATTCACTATTCATAACTTGCTAAATTGCTAGAGTTTGACAATTTTGCATTTGGGTGCAATTTCATTTAATTTGTTGAGTCATCAAATTATACTTTTTCCTTAATTTCCTCCATTCCATTCATATCCTTCTTCTTTCACGCTCTTCCATTCTGCTTTTGATTAAAAAAAAAGCATTCTCTATCTCTCTCCCCCACTCTCTATCTCTCCACCATTGAAGTTGCACTCTGAGCCTTCTCTACTCCACCATTGACGCAAATTCTGCGGTAAGATGTTTATCAAGTTATGAAATTATAAGTTTGAGCTATTAAAATGAAATTAAATTAATATATAATCTGCAATAGCATATTTAAAACCTTCCTACTGTCCTGCATCGCACTAGACGAGGCTCTAAAACTTGCATTTCATTAACGCTTTTTTCAAACTTCCAACATTGCCTGAATCTCGGTTTTGCTGCTAGCTACAAACCTTACCTCCATTAACAATGGTATGTCCAAATTCTCTCTCCTCTTCCTCTTTCTTTTCTATATTAAGGGTTTTACTCTGCAATTCTTGGCCAAAACATGTTAGATTACCTCTTGTTTTTGTTTTTGTTTATTTTTGATTTTAATTTTTACTCACTGTTGGTGTAAATATATGTGTATGTTTGCTAATTTAGCTGGAATCTGGTTCAATTTAAGTGTTTCATGTTAATTTATTATTAAGGTTTTTAATTTTAGGGTGTGTTTTTAATTTGAAATTTTGGGATTAAGAGTGTAAATTGGGAATTTTTCATGAAATTCTAGGGTTATAATGACGGAATATACATGTTTGTGGTATTTGTTTGGATGCTGAGGGTTTTGTATTTATAGGCGGATCCTGAATTGGATGCCATCAGACAAAGAAGAATGCAGGAGCTGATGGCACAACGTGGCGGAGGTGGTTCGGTATTAACTCGATCAATTGTGTTGATTTGTTCTCTAGATTTTTCAAGCTTTTGTGTGATTTATTTGTTGTTGCACCCTGTATAGTATTTTACTGACTGTATCCCTCATTCAATTAGGGAAGTCAGCAGAACCCTGAACAATAGAAGGCTCAAGAAGGGGAAAAATGTATGATTAATTTGAGAGTTAATGTTTGTTTGATGTGTTTTTCTAATTTGTGCTAAATTTCTTGGTTTGTTTGGCATTATGAAATGAAGCAAAGCTAAAGAATGAAGGCAGATAATGCTTGCTCAGATTCTTTCCAGTGAAGCACGCGAAAGACGTAAGCTTAGATAACAAATTAATATGATGTTACTAATTTTGCATTTGGGTGCAATTTCATTTAATTTGTTGAGTCACCGAATTATACTTTTTCCCTAATTTCCTCCATTCCATTCATTTCCCTTCTTCTTTCACGCTCTTCCAGTCTGCTTTTGATTGAAAAAAAAAAAAGCATTCTCTATCTCTCTTCTCCCACTCTCTATATCTCCACCATTGAATTTTTACTCTGAGCCTACTCTACTCCACCATTGACACAAATTCTGCGGTAAGATGTTTCTCAAGTTATGAAATTATAAGTTTGAGCTATTAAAATGCAACTAAATTAAGATTTGTATTGTGGAATTTCAGCTATTTTTTATCACTCACCAAATATCAATTCGCCAATAGAGTTCATTCTTAATATCATTTTAATTTTAGTTTGTGTTTTTTGTCTTTTGCCTAGGATGATGATGCTTCTGTCCGAGTTTCGATCTCTTCTATTCCGGTTAGGGCTTTTGATTGTCTTTTGATTATTTTTGTATTATTTGAATTCAATTTTGTGATTTTTAAGTGTTGCTTGGATCAGATTTTTTATTTTGTTGTTTTATGAAATGTAGGACGTTGGAGGAAAAGCTAGAGATTCTGAAGTTTTCTATGGTTTTAGCAATGAAAGCAGTAATTTCATGAGTATGTGTTCTTTTTCCTAGCTTCTTATTTCAATTCTTTTTATTTCATGCCGATAAATTCAGTTTCTATTGATGAGTTTATTTTATATATATTTTATTCCCCGTCCCACGGTCATATTTGTGCTTTTTTGAGCTCTGCGAAGCTATTTTTATTATTAATATATGTTTTCTAGTGTTTTTGTAGAGTTGGTATTATTTTGTAGGAATTTGCAGAATTATGTCAATTCCCGAGCTTATTGAGCCATTACAAAGACATTGGAGTTTGATCAAATTTTATGACCGCATATTTTAAGCCTAAGATCGAGCTAATTAAATTTAGTTTGGTGATTAAGAGCTCGATACATGAGAAGGTCCGAGATTTCACAAGTTACTATCACAGACCAATTAAGGAAGGAAATTGGGCCAAAAGCGAAGGGGCCTGAGCTGGCAAATCCAAGCAAGTAAGAAAGAGGTTGCTGGGCGTGAAGACTACTGGGCCTGCAAATTCCTTGGGCTTTACTCTAGTTAATTCGCTGATGTGGGTTTCTGACTTCTAGGGGCCTTTGCTCCAATTTCACGCAACGTTAATGATTACCCTTGGAGGAATTAGAGTTTGACTGGGAAACAAACTCCTTTTCCTTTAAAAGGATGGAGTTAGTTACGGATGAGTAGTTTTAAGTTTTAGCTTTTTTGTTACTTTAATTTTAGTCTTAGTTTTAATTATAGTTTTTTTTTCCGTAACTTGCTTTAGTTAGCCTTTTAATTTGCATGCTGAGGATTTTAGTTTAGTAATTTTATTCGCTTCGTCAATTTTGTTCCTTTATTAGACTTCGTTTTAGTTTAGCTTGAGATTTCAATTTACTTGCTTTCTTGTTTTGTTATTATTAAAATTAATATGCTTATTGTTATTTTCTTAATTTTGTATTTCATATTATTGTTTTTATTATGCTTAATTTAATTGCTTTGTTTAGCTTAATTTTAATTATGTGTGAGTAGTTTTCTTGCTAAGGTTTGTGGGGATCTATAAATAATATGAAGGGGTAATTTATTGTTGTTAATTATCAATGCTAGATTAATTTCCTATTGATTGATTTAATGCCCTGTGACTAGATTAGGCCTGATCTTTTATGCATGAGTTTGAAAATATTGATTCGAGATTCGAGAGATGAGAATTGATATTTAGGTCTAGTTTCAATAGGCAGGTTAATTTAAAAATGGTTAAGTCGAGATTCGAGAGATGAGATTTAATACCGGTAGATTAATTCTGTGATTGTAATACGTAGCAAAAGCCCGTAATGATCTGATTAATTGATGCATTGATGTTTGATTATTATGTTTTACCCTAGAATATTATTTATTGGTGACCCTATGCCCTAGGTCTTTTATTCATTGTTTCTCCTCCTACTTTAATTCTTTTCCACTTTTACTCTTAGTAGTTTAATTTCCCTTCGATAATAATAATTTGTTACTCTATAATCTAGATTATATTAATTAATTAGGAATAAAATGACTCGTTTCCCAGTGGATTCGACCCTACTTCCCTGTCTATTTTATTTAGTGGTTTAGGAATTACTTTTGATTAGGTGATACGACTTCAGCCTGTCAAAATTTGGCGCCGTTGCCGGGGAGACGGTTTTATTTTTATTTCTGATTAATTTTTTTAGTCTAGATTATTATTTTTATTTATTTTTTTCGTCTCATAGAACGTAAGTTCTTTGGGACAGTTTTTCATATTTATTTGTTTAGTACAGATGAAGAATCAGATATGACTACACCACCACCACCTCCTCCTGTTCGCAAGCTTAGCAACTACTCGCAGCCGAAGCTCACAGATTTCCCGCACCTTACTCCCACTCCGGCTCTAGATGGAGTTCAATTTGAGATCAAACCCCAATTTATCACTATGATAGAGAGGAAGCAATTCAGTGGAGCTAAGGGTGAAGATCCTAATCTTCACGTTGCAGATTTCTGCCAGTATTGCAACACCATTAGACAAGCCGGGGTCACGCAAGACCAAATTAAGGAGATTCTTTTTCCCTTTTCTTTATGTGGAAAAGCTAAATTATGGTTTAATGGTTTGAATAGAACTGCACTTGGTAATACTGACTGGGAAACTCTTGCCTTGAATTTTTATAATAAATATTACCCTGTAGAGAGAACAGCTGTACTAAGGAATGCTATTCAGAACTTTTCCCAAGAGGCCGATGAAACTCTATATGAGGCTTGGGAGAGGTTCAAGGATCTACAGAGAGAATGCCCCCACCATAATCTGGCACAATGGCAGTTGATCCAAGCCTTTTACAATGGACTTGGAAATTCATCTAGGTCAATTCTAGATTCTGCAGCTAGTGGGAGATTCATGAATCTTAATGTGGAAGATGCAGGACAGGTTGTTGAAGATATGGCTATTCATAAATCCCAATATGGAAATCCAGAGGGTTTGCAAACAAGGGAAAACACCAAGTCGATTCTATATCCTTTTTGCAGACACAATTGACTTCTATTAGCCAGAAACTAGACAGTTTTAATAATTCTAATTCATCTTCCGTTGCTAATGTTTCTGCTATTGGTACTAACTCTACAATATTTTGTGAAAATTGTGGTCTTATAGGTCATTGGGCACATGACTGTAGGAGTTCAATTGAGAAGATTAATTTTTTTCAAACCTATAAGCAAATTAGTCCATACTCTAACACCTACAATACAGGGTTGAAAAATAACCAAAATATGTCGTACAATAGTACGAATGTGCTTAACCCTCCACCACAGGTACAACAACCACAACAGAGGTACTATCAACCTCCACATCAGAGACCACAACAGGTTGTTACACCTCCATTTGATTCTGGCCTATCAGAAATCAAAACGATGTTAGCCAATATGCAGAAGTAGATGCAGAGTAGAGGTGCGCAAATTGACTCATTAATAGCACACAATAAAATAATAGATACTCAGATTGCGCAACTTTCCTTTACTCTGCAAACTCGCCAGCAGGGAGCCCTACCATCACAGCCAATACAAACAACAGAATGCGCAAATGCAATTACTCTAAGGAGTGGTTCACACTATGATGGGCCTCCTATGCCCAAAAATGATGAATCTGCTACAACAAAAATTGCTAATCTTGATTCTGTTAAACCAAACAATGTTGTTACTAGCCCTGCAGGGCTACATGGTAAAACTACCTTTTCTGATAATCCTTTGCAGGGTAAACCCCAGGATAAGAGTGGAGATGTGCAAGGTCTTGCTATCAAACTTCCATTCCCTAATAGACATTTAAAGAGTAAGTTGGATAAGCAATTTGGTAAGTTTCTGGAGGTTGTGAAAAATTTGCAGGTAACAATTCCTTTCACAGATTTAATTACTCAAGTTCCTGCATATTCTAAATTTATGAAAGAAATTTTGACTAGAAAAAGATCTATTAGTGAGATAGAGACTATTGCTTTTACTGCAGAATGTAGTGCTATATTACAGAATAAATCTCCACCTAAACTAAAAGATCCGGGTAGTTTTTCTATTCTATGTCATATTGGTAATCTGATGATTGAAAAAGCATTATGTGATTTGGGTGCTAGTGTAAGTGTTATGCCATTATCTGTGAGCTCTAAATTAAATATGGGTAAATTAAAATCTACCAATATTACTCTGCAAATGGCTGATCGTTCTGTTAAATACCCTATAGGTGTTTTAGAGGATGTTCCTATTAGAGTAGGTAAACTTTATATACCTGTTGATTTTGTTGTTCTTGATATGAAGGAAGATTTGCAAATTCCGATTATTTTGGGTAGACCATTCCTTCATACTGCAGGAGCAATAATAGATGTCAAAAGTGGTAAACTTACGTGTAGGGGATGATAATATTACTTTTAATCTAAATAATGTCCCTAAAAGCCCAATGTTAGAGGAAAAGTATTTTAGTATTGGTGTGGTTGATGTACATAATTTTTCTAATAAGCCCCAAGCTCCCGTTAGAAATCCCATGGAGGAGGTATCTTGTGTTGCATCTTGTGCTGGAAAAACTAGTACATGGAAAGATGAAGTGGATGCTATAGAAAGAGCTTTAAATTGTGTTGGACTCGGGTTTGAAGATGAACTAGTGGAGATTGAGAAACAAGTTGTAGAGTTTGAGCCCGTAGTGAAAGTTCCACCCGATCGAGTGATAAATGCTCAATCTTGTGGAAAAACGAAGGAAATCAAGTATAGAAAAGAATTTGGAGCAGTAAGTAAGAAGAAGACGCCAGTTCGGACCTTAGAGTCGGGCCCGATCGGGCCACTCTCGCCCGATCGAGCGCGAGTGCGCGAGAGCGCGATAGCAAAACTGCTCAACTTCGACAGGCCATAACTTTTGCATTTATAAACTAAATTTTACGTGTGACCTATCATTGGAAAGATCTTCCAGTCTACTTTCTAATAAAAATTGGAATCACTTAATTATAATTTTTATAAAAAACGTTATGAGCAAAATAGTGAACATGACTCGTTTTTGCCTCTTCTCTTACTAACAATTTGTTTATTTTTTGTCCAAAATTGTACCAAGGTGATGCATTGCAATGTTTGGGACGGTGGTGGATACGAGTTCGATGATGAGGGGTAGTCACTTAGATTACTAGCTTCCCTTTAAGCCAATGAAGACATTGTCTAATTTAGCTTGGGGGATTTCTTATATATATAGGTACTCTTTCTTTCCCTTTTCTTTTTATTTTTCTTTGGTGTGATTAGTTTAGTTTTTAACGCTTTCTTAGCATAGATTTAATTGTTTTCTAGTGTAGTTTTATTGCTTTCCTATATGAAAAATACAAAAAAATTGAAAAATAAAAAAAATCCAAAAAAAACGTTCCAATGAATTATGAATCATGCTTCCCTGTGCCCCTTAATTAAAATTTTTCAAAATTGTTTTGATTCTTGGTTATTGATGATAAATGTTGTGGATTAGTTGATCATGATTTGATGTTTGATTGCCTTGAACCTTTACATGCGTCAATTTTGTCCAACTACCTGTGAATATAGTGCTTGACTAGTTCATTTGGTTAGGAATGAGTGTTAGTTCCTGGTATGTCAATGAATTTGAGTATTGGTTTGCAACTATGAGTAATGTTTGTATGATTCACTATTATGCACATTGTGGAGGACGAAAGCATTTGTTCTTTTAGGTGGCCTTCAGATGATTTAGACACATTTGTTTCCTTCTTGCTTCCCATGTTGTTGCTTGTGTCCTTTTGTTGTTTATTAGCCACATTACAAGCCATATTTGCCCCATTGGTTACTAGTCCCAAGCTTGGCTTGGGGGAGCTATTAGTGAGTGAGGTGGGGGAGTTTGTAGTGTGTACATTATTTGCACAATTTGGGTGGGTTTTGAGAAGTAATTTGTTCTTAATTATATTTTTGTTTTTGACGTGTTTAAAAGTTGAATATCCTTGGAAAAATAAAAGTGTTATGGAAAAAAAAAAGTTCAAGAAAAAAGTGAGAAATATGTTGAAAAAAAAGTGAGTTTCAATGAAAATCAGAGTTTGGAAAATAAAGTTTGTTATTCACTCAAGTTCTATATTATTATATTTTTATGAGTGATTTATTGTAAGTGTTAAAAAATATTGTTATTATTGGTTGGTTTGTTTGGTGAATTTTTGCTGGAGTTGAGTATGTTGGAGATGATTAGTCATTATTTATTTTTGACTTTGGTTTTATTAGGATTTGGTTCCCTTTAAGCATGGCTTTTCTCTCACATTTCCCAAATATTTCCTACCCTTTACCCTAGCCTTACATTACAAGCTTAAAAGACCTTATGACCGTGTGCATAGAGTTGTATGAATGTGAAATTAGTTTTTTTTTTTATCAATGCAAAGAATGATTTGATATATTTCGAGTCGACTATTAGGTTGAGTGTATGTCTCTTAAATACACGAGTGCGTGAGTTGGG